GACAGGGTTTCTCTGTGTAGCTTTGCGCCTTTCCTGGAGCTCACTCTGTAGCCCAGGCTGGCCTCGAACTCACAGAGATCCGCCTAGCTCTGCCTCCCGAGTGCTGGGATTAAAGGCGTGCGCCACCACCGCCCGGCCCACTTACAGCTTTTTTTTAAAATGAAGAGATGGCAGAGAGAGGGAGGGCAAGAGGACATGCCTCAGGCAGGCTTCTCCTACTAATCCGGCACGTTACACGTTACCCACCGGGAGAACACGCGGCTCCTCCGCACAGCTTCACCTGCAGGCTGCACTGGGCTTCTCAGATCGGGTTCTCAGGGTCAAGAGGAAATCAACAAGACTATCATCCTCAGGAAAGGTGAACAACAAACCCAGCAGCTGCTTCTCTGCTGCAGCCCAGCTGTCCCCCGCCCAGGCCCCACTTCCAAGGCAGAGATTGCTCCAGGCACACTAAGGAATGGAGATGTGAGCTGAGCAAAGAATCCATGACAGATCTAGGTAGAGAAGATTCAGGAATAACTAACATATGCATAGGAACGCCAGGCATGGTGGTGGCTCATGCTTATAATTCTAGCATGCAGTGGTGGCTAAGGCAGGAGACTGCTACAAGTTTAGTCCTACCTCGTACACACACAGACAACCATGCTCTTCAAAAACGCTGCCAACCTCTCCGACCCAGGATAATACTAACAGTTAAGCTTTTTTCCGGGACCATTTTCTTGGTCTCTTTCCCAGCACACCTTGTCCCAGGCTAACTTGAATAAACAAACACACGCATGTGACCACATCAAGTGGGGGTGGTGAAATTCTGAATGGAATGCAGCCCCAGCCAGTTAGGGGACCAGAAGCTGAGATCTCCCCAATGGGCTGGGTGGATTTATACCAGCAAAGAAGCCAAAACAATGAGCTCATGGGCAAGAAAAATGCAGTCTGTGGGGAAGTCTGGGCAGCCAGAACAAACTGGTTTTCTGAATCAGGATGGGAAGAGCAGGAATTGAGTCTCCCACGGGAACAAGATTAGGAGACACCATGCATTTAGTAACAAACTTGAGTAAATTTCAAAGGTTGTTCCTACTAAATGTTGTTCTGCAGTGTAGCTCTTGGTCCTGTGTTCAAAAACAGATTTGCTTTCCCTGGTTGTGAGGGTCTGGAAGGTGAAGGACCAGGTAGCTGTGAGGTGTGAGCTCTAGTAAAATAGGTTATTCATGAGTAAGTTAGGTAAGGACATGGCAATAATGCCAACACTGGAAGACGGAGCCCATCACAGAGAATGTCTCAAGCAAGACAAGGCACTTAATCCAGCTGGTCTATGTAAGACTGCACCCCACAGTACACTGGGTGGCCCGTGGGGGTGGGGTGGGGGGCTATCAGTTTTTTCCCCTCCTGAGGTGCAGATGACTGGGAGCTAGGCAGAAGCGGATGTCCCCAACCGCCAGGATATAAAGCATTTTGTATGACTTCCCCAGAAGAAACTGCAGACTAGGCTCTTGGGCTGGTGAGGACTCAGCTGTGAAGAGTTCTTGTAGAAATCCAGAGTTCCGTGCCCAGAATTTATAACAGGTGGTTTGCAGATGCCTGTAATTCCAGATCTAATAGATCCAACCCACTCACATCTACATAACCCCCTCCCATATACAGGTAATTAAAAAGAAATAAAACCAGGCTGGACTATGAACCTTTAATCACAACTCTTGGGAAACAGAACTCTGGGATTTCGAGGCCAACATGGTCTACTGGTCTCCATAGCAAGTCCCAAGCCAGCTAAGGCTATAGAGTGAGGCCCCACTTCAAAGACAGAGCAGGGTGTGGGGACACATACAAATCCCAGCACCTGGGAGGCAGGGCAGGGGGATCTCTGAGTTTGAGGCCATCCTGGTCTACATAGCAAGTTCCAGAACAGCCAGAGCTACATAGTGAGGCCTTGTCTCAAACACTGAAATAAATTAGAATCTTAAGAAGCAAACAAACAAAAAATACTCCCAAACAAACTTAGAAGCAAACCAAACCAACCAACCAACCAAACAAAAACTTCAGTTTTCAAAGCACTGTAAAGTTGGTTGTGGTAACGTGAGGATCGATGGGACTCAGAAGGGGCTCCAACACATTTCCAGGTGTCAGGAACTATTATTTTGAGGAAACACAAAGCTACCACACGTGGGAGGCAGAGGTAGGAAGACAACGTAAGTTTGAGGCCAATCCAGTCTACATATAGACTGGCAAGCCTGTCAGGGCTTTAGAAAGACTTCAGAAAAAGTCAACTAGTTCTACTCCATTAGAACTATTTATTAGTGTGTAGTAGCACAGGCCTATATCCTCAGCCCCTGAGAGGCGAAGCCTCTGTTACACAGAGAAATTGTCTGGGAACTCCCCCCAAGGAAAAACCCCCCTCAATTCTGGAGAGCTGTTTGCCTCATCAGCCTCCTGGCGGATGCCCCTCCCCCCCAGATGCTTCCCATAACTGAGATAAGCTAACCTAACACTGTAACTACTGTGAACTGAGACAGAACCAAGTTTTCAAATCTCCAGAGAAGTCACTAAGTGGGGGTGGAGAGTCGGCTCCATGAAGGCAGAATTCTGAAATCACTGAACAAGAGAAGCCTGGAGGCACGAGAGAGAACATGCTGCAGTCTTCAGCCTCAGGAACTGCTGGTGCTTTGGTTATCTGGTTGTAGCCATGCTATCTGCTAATGGTTGTACTTTTTTCACTCTAATTTTTGTAAAATCCTCTATTTACCAAAACTGGTTCCTGAAAAAGTTTTTAGGCTGGCCTTATGGCCACCTCAGGCCAGAACTTTGAGAGGCTAAGACAAGACTATCATCTCAAGTTCGATCCCAGCCTAGGGGAGAGTGCCAGAAAAGGGGAAAGCTGGGTGGCCGTGGGGACGCAGGGGAATGGACTCAGGACCCTGCAAAGGTTAAATATACACACTAACAAATGAGTGGCACCCCTACCTTGGAAAGAAAATTCTCAAGCAACAGAATGACAGTTCTCAAGTACCGACCAGGGCCAGCTGGTGTGGCTCAGCAGCTCCACAGTTTAGGAGGCTTCGGTTTCCACTCCAGCACCCTTACCAGCACAACTCAGAAAACGGAAAATCACAAGAACAGAAAATGAAAGGGCTGGGTGGCGGCTGGCTGACGCTTGCCTAGGACTCAGAAGCCCTGGGTTCTGAAGCTGCCGTGGGCACACACCTGTTTGGCACAGGAGAGGCTGAGGCAGGGGGCCAGAACTTGGGTCTCCACAGGCGGGGAAAAAGAGAACTGAGCGTTAGTTGGGTCAAACACCGGGGTGGGATGGGGTGTAGGTCTCCTTACCGAGTCCTCTAGCTTACTCTTTGAATTAGAGTCCTGGTTGGCCTTAAACTCCTCCCAAGTGGCAGAGAAATTAAGATATGTGCCACCACACCCACTTAATTTTACTGTTTACCCCAAACAAGTTCTCAGGCAGCCTGAACCGGCTTCAAAACCCAGTAGCAAAAGCTGACCTTTAGCTCTGGATTGATTCTCAGGCCGCCATCTCCAGTCTCAGGTGTCCCAGGTGTGTACCACCACTCCCGGCCTTACAGCTTTTTCTTGGAAATGGAAGCTGGTGATATGACCCTGACTGACCTCCAGCACACAGCACTGCCTCAACCTCCCCTGGACTGGGATTACAAGAGTGCTGTCCACAAGCTGGCTTGATTCAAGTTTAAGGTAAAAGACACTGCACAGGAATAGCTTCATGTCATAAAGCATCAATGGCCATCACAGTGGCAGAGAAGGCCAAGGCAGGAGCATCCAAAGTTCACTGCAAGCCTAGGTCCTGTTTAAAAAATAACTAAAAACCAACAAAAAGAACAGCGCTAAGCGAAACTTAACCCAGGTCAAGATTTGGGGGTCTGGCCGGGCGGTGGTAGTGCACGCCTTTAATCCCAGCACTCGGGAGGCAGAGCCAGG